AAAGAAAGAAAGAAAGAAAGAAAGAAAGAAAGGAAAAAAAAGAAACAAATGTATGCTGGGCACTTACAGAGTCCACCTGGGGTTTCCAAAAAACCCAATAGATGAAAAGTGAATGTTAATACAGTGTGTGATTATTTTGACCACAAGGTAACAAGCTCCTATCCATATGATGGCATTCAGGGTGACTGGTGCTGGTTGGTGTTCCAGTGTGTGTGAGTGTGTGTGTGTGTGTGTGTGTGTGTGTGTGTGTGTGTGTGTAAAACCTCCAGTCACAGATTCGCTGCATCACAGATTACTGGATTTCAAAGAGAAATCATTTCCACAAGGCAGTGTGGCTAGCATGGAAATTCTGGTGTCTTCCATCCCTAGTTCAGGGCACTTCCCCCAAACCTAAGTAGTTGTTTTCTTGAATCCTTGTCCTGTCCACATCTTAACCAAGCTGAATATTCACAGTGATAAAACCACAAACGAGAGCGCTTGTCAGAAATGTTGAAAGAGAATAGGTACTTTCACTATCAGTGATGGTTTCCTCTTTTCCCACAAGATGTCTTATCAGCTTTCACCCTGAGAAAAACCATAAAAAGAAAAAAGAAAGCTTACGCAATAGTTCTCTAAATAAAATAGTACGCAACAGGCTAGTCATCCTTAAAAGTGATGCTGTGTAAAGAGTCAAAGTACATCATCCAGCAGAATCAATACCCTATTAAGTTAGGCAGGATTCCGGATATCAAAGAGCAATGAACTGAATAACTGAAAGTATAAGTACACGACCCAGGGGATTAATCACACACTGTCACGGTGAAATTAGGACAATTCTTCCAATCATTAACGTTTTGCTTACAAAAATGTGCGTTTCTGTTTGTCTTTCTGCTAAATGATAACCGTTTTTTCAAGTTGAATCTCCTGATAAAAAGTTAAAAAACAAGACAGGAGCTGTGCCATGAAGGTCATACATGCCGCCTCAACATGGAATAGCCAAAGGGTAAACAAATGAAAAATGTCTAGATTGTAGGAAGAATTTGTAAATATCCACTGGCAGCTTGTAACAGAGCACTTTATAAAAAGTTAATGCTAACCATGTCCTGGGAATGCTGTACCTCCTTCACCCAACACTCTCAATGCTTAAGGACATGTTTACAGTCAGAGCATGAGCAACTTGAAGGGAACCTGGGCTAGCTTCCAATTGGAAAACAGCATGCTTTCAGCGAATTGTCCACTTTAAAACAAGATTTCACCCCTTAGCTTTTTTCTAGTGTCAATCAATACAGAAGCCGCTGTCCCTCTGCCTAGTACTCATGATCCTGTTGCTCCCGAGAGTAAACATTACCCAGAGGTTATCGCCAGGAATGAAACACAGAGATTTCAGGATCATTTTAATTCTGTACAAATGTCTCATTCTCCAGAACTTGGATTCAGACAGTCCCACTTTCAGACCAGACTGACTTGTGGCCTTTGAACTTTGATGTAACCTGTTAGGCAGGTCTGGAGCTTAGAGTCTGCAGCTGATTGGAAACAAAACTCTCCCACTGGACTGCTCCTTTGGGCTCCAACACTAAGGAGACGTGAGGAGGGGCAGTGCACAGCATGAACTGAGCTGGGACTGGGGGACCCGGACCGAGTCATGCAGCTCAGTTGGGCCATTCTCTGAGTTCTGAGACCAAGAACTAAAATTCCAACGTAGACTTTTAAACTTCCAGACCTACCCTTGCCCTCCCTCTGCCTAAGGAGCAGTGCTCAGTATTTTCTGGAAACCTAATTCATCTGCAGTTCCATGGCCTTCCTGCATTCTAAGGAGGCAGGGTGTAAGGGCCTGTCTTTTCCTGGATGTCCCTTGGACCGATTCCGTCATAGGCTCTTTACCATACAGCTAAGACTCCAGGGAGGCCAAGGCTAAAAGAAATTTCTGGGCCTCTCCTCAACAGGTCTCTGTGGGAGGGCTGTCAGAGCTGGACTCTGCCAGCCAGGTGGCTGGATGCAGGTTAATACCCAGGGCCACATCCACCTGTTGGGCGGGCACTCTTCCTCCTTCGTCGATTACCCATCCTGGACCCCCTTTTCTAAGCCTTCAGATTCCTGACACTCCTGACGCTTCCTGCTTCTGCTTGCTGTCCCCAACCCAACAGGGGCAAGAGTTACCAAAGGGAAACCTGTGTGCAGGGGATGAGGCAGAGTGCTGGTCCCATGGGTCTCTCTCACACCCGCCAGCATCCCAGCCAGTGGCTCTCAAATTCTCTCCCTAGGCCTCTGACTTTAACGATCCGGGATCTCCTAAATCTTCTGCTCCTCCAAAGCCGGCCTTGCACTGCACGGAGCGGAGCGCAGCTGGGCTCCCGCTGGGGGGGGGGGCGGTGAGGATGACTCACTGTTGACTCTCGCTGGTCAAGGACGGTGGCTGCACACACCAATCGATGGTGCTCAGTGGCAACCCCAACCTGCCCTGCTCAGTCCCCAACACACATACCTGTCCCAGCTAACTCCAGGAGATGGGCACCCCACT